TTATTATTATTATTAACATGACAAATCTTACACATAAAAAAAACACATAATACAACTAAGCAAAATTTAAAATTAGTCAAACAACAATCTAGTTTAATCTAATATGGTTAGTAAAAACACCGAAAAGATTTTAATTGCACTAAATTTGCAAATTGTTGTTTCCTCGCACAATAACTTTAAATCTCGCGCTTTAAGACGATATAATTTGTAGTTTATGCCTTTACAATTCTTTGAACATGAGAAGGATATCCATACCTTGTATAATATAAAATCTCTTTAAATCATATATTAGAATAAAGCTTTTGGGTAATTATGTTCTTTCACCTATACTTATTTGAGGTAATTTTATTTTGAGTTTTCTTTGGACATCCCACTGAAAGAAAGGAAAAAAAAATGCAATTTTGGTATAATTGATGTAAATATTTTTTTTCTGGAGTAGAATCGAAAAATTCGAACACCGGGTCGTGTCTCACGAGGAAGGTTAGCCGGAATATTGTGCACGTTTATTCAGTCACAAAAGAAGAAATAAAATTTCTAAACATACTAATTCAAATAACTGGGATTGGTTTTAATTATCAACTAGCACGAGAATTCAAGTAAAGCAGTAAAAATAGCAAGCGAAGACGAAGAAAAAATAGGATTTAAGGAGCTAGGGAGTCGGAGATATCCTTTTTGGTTCGATATGCAATTAATGGGCAAGTGATTGTTCAGCTAAGTGATTTGAATATCCGACACGTTCAAGTATTCATTCTTAATAACTTTTCATAACAAGAGAACAAACTAAAACGAAAAATTAAAAATTCATTTAACTTCTAGGTAATACAGTTACGAACAAGCCTAGTTCATACGAGTCTATTTCGACCGACTCCTCCCCTTTCGGTTCTAAGAGTCGATTAAAGTAGACTAGAGGGTGGTTAACCGACTAATCAAACAGAATCACCCAATATCAGACACGAATAAATCAAATTCAATTGAAAACAATTGCACGTTGAAGTGAAGAAATTAGAAAAATAAAAGAGTGAAGAAATTAGTAAAGAAAAAGAATATGGAAAAGAAAAAATGAGTTTCAGAGAGGACTATTGTCTCTAAAAAAAAAGAAAAAAAAGAAGGAAGAAATTAGAGGAAACGGAGAACGAAGAAAGTGAAGGGAAAGTGGCGTGAAGAAGAAGAAGAAGAACGAAAGAGTGAGAAGAACAGAGTTTATATATATATATATGTGTGTGTGTGTGTGTGTGCATGTGTGTGTGTGTTTTAAAATATCGGTATACTTACAAATGAAAATAGGTTAGTATATGTGCAGATAAATTTGATCTTTTGATAATGGATGGAGTAATTTTCGCTTTTAATTTTATCTAAGCATATTCGACCCTTATAAATATATTTATTACAAATGAAATTAGGTTAGTATATGTGCAAATAAATTTGATCTTGATAATGGATGGAGTAATTTTCACTTTTAATTCTATCTAAGCATATTCGACCCTTATAAATATAATTGTTTTCTTATGAATTAGGTGCCCCATTTAAGTTCATGACACACAGGATTGATGCCATAGACAAAGCAAACTATATGTGCAAGTACACTCTAATCGATGGTGATGTCCTAGGCGAAAAAGTTAAAAAAGTGTGCTACGAGATCAAATTAGAGGCCTCCGAAAACGGTGGGTGCAAGATCAAGCTCGACATTGAGTATCACTCAAAGGGTGATGCCGAAATAACAAATGAAGAAATAGAAGTGGGGACTAAACAAGCTCTAGGGCTCTACACGGCTTATGAGGAGTATCTCATTGCCCATCCCAACAGTTTTACCTAAACATACTTGATTTGTTCTCATTAAGAAAGACAGCTAAATAATTACTTTGCAAGTGTCGAGTGCTTTGAAGTGTTTGAAAAAAAAACATATTTGTTTCTTTTTATTGTCGTTTATCTGATCACGATTAAACTAAGGCTTGGTTTTTGTTGCTTTGGGTGATACTGATAGCAAAGAAGTCATTGTTCAAAAGTGGGTAGTAGTTGAATTATGGAAAACTACTTTACGAAAAAACTTGAAGAATAAAACAAGTAAAAAATAATAATTATCAGAAGATTTTGTTTTCAAATGATAAGAACTTATATTAAAACTCAAACCAATGTACAAAGAAAATCATGAAACACAGTCAGCCCCTACCAACGACCAAGTCGGTTGAGAAAAAAAAAACTAAACACGACAACATAAAAAGAAACAAAAACCCAACAACGCAGACAAATATTCAATATCCTCCGCTAAGGCATTTTCTCTGACCTCCAGTTGAAACCTCCTATTAAGCATAGCTGCCACCTCTCTTCTTGCCACTCTGCATACTACATTTTACAATCTTTCCTTACCAACTAGTTCCAAATCCATCTAATTTGCCTCAGATAAGTTTCCAGTTGAGACTTTCTGCAACTAAAGTTAGCAGACCAGAACGTCAACACATCTCCTTCTTTTTTTGAAGTTACTCTTAGCAAAACTATTTCGCTAGATGAAGGTTGGGCAATCAATTCATCATTCTTTTGTACCTACCAGACCAATTTGTCTCTCTGTCCATAGTGGCGCAAGGGAGTACTGTGAGTTCGAAATAATTGGGAGGGGAAGCTGATCTAACAACATTAAGGTGCAAGGTATTAATACACATGATTTATTAATAGGGGTATATCATATACCCCTATTAATAGGGGTATATCATATACCCCTATTAATAAATCATATACGGTATATCATATACCGTATATGAAACTTTAAGGGGGGTAGTAGTAATTACTTACCAAAGAAAGACATGGTCGCGGTGGTGGAAGGTGGCGACTTTGAGCTGATAGTTTTTCGGAGATGAAGACGCTGGAAATATTCATGTATAGAAATTGGCGGAGATGAAAATGCAGATAAAAGGAAAAATTGGTGACAACTCTTGTATTTATAGAGATACGGCAGGGGAAAGGTCGGCTGATCGGGGACGTCCAATTTAAAATACAATCAATGGTTGAAACAGATGGCATGTGCGCGAAAGGATAGTAGACAAAAGTCAGTCAACCACAACCATCGGATTACGATATGACGAGCAACAAGGATGACGAAATTCGAGATTCGATAAACGACCATCATTACGCCTAGGATTAATAATGACGCACGTCAGGAATTCTGACATGCGCCGATTTGGATTTGATGGGTCAGAATTGATAGACGGTGTCATGGGCGATGCACGTACAAAAAGAGGGAGTAAGCCGCACTCGCCTTTGATGTGGAATTTTTCTGGCCAGCCTGAGAAAGTTCGTCTCGAAAATTAGGGGAGGGCTAGATGATATGGCATTTAGAATGCAGATCAAAGTGCAGGAGAGTTCGGCTGGCCAAGCTAACCTAGAACCTTTAATGGTTGCAATGTTGGCCACCATGCCGGGAATTCAGATGAGCTCACCCTGAGGGTTTGGGAATTAGGTAATTATAAGACAAAGGTTTAAGCTATCAGGAAGCCAATCCTCGTCAATGAGTGGGGGATCAAGGTTAGCTCGGCAGGATTGAGGGAAGGCTTAGATGATAGTGGCCGAGCTACCATCCCTAAGAAAGCCGAGGTGGTGTGTTCCGTGCAGAGATGGGCCTTCCGAAGTCTCGTCAAAGATTTTGGATTCGAATAGAACTCTGTAATGGTCGGGTTCTCTAGGCAGAACTGTGCAACGAGAAGACTCACATACCCAAAGTCACATTATGCAGAGAATTTTGGGCCTATATAAGGGACATGTTATTTTATCTTTACAGGAGAACGAACGCATATTTTTTTATACTCTACCGTTTCTCCACAAACACTACTGACTTGGCGTCAGAGTGTTCACGCCAGGACCAACCTCGGCATGTTTTGCATGTACCGGCGATCTAGAAGACACCATTCAGTTCAAGGGGAGCGATCAAGCGGTTCGTAAATTCGTGGCACAAAATGCATGAATGCTCAGTTCTTAGAAGAGGACTTTGATACTGCATGCACAAGATGTTACACCACAAAATATTGTAACACGTGTCGTCGACGGTACACTTAAGCAGGTAGTACCACATCTTAGTGTGAGGGTTGTTCGACTAGACGATCCTTTCATATTTTTGGGAGATTTTTCAGACACAGTCCCAGATGGTCTTGATAAGCGCTCCAAGATCGGAACGCATAGTCTTGGCAATGTGCGATGAGAGCTGAGATGGACCTAATAAACTCCATTCAGGTCTGGTATCTTGTAGAGCCACCCAAAGGCGTTCACGTCATTGGATGCAAGTGGGTATATGAGAGAAAGAGAAGATCGGATTGGAAGGTTGATACCCTCAAGGCTAGGCTTGTTGCGAAGGGGTACACTCAGAAAGAGATAATAGATTATGAGGAAACCTTTTCGCTGATAGCTATGCTCAAATCCATCAGGATTCTCTTGGTTGTAGCCATTCATACGGATTATGAGGTCTGACAGATGGATGATAAGACCACTTTCCTTAACCAGATTGGACGAGTACATCTATATCCACCAACCAGAGGGTTTCATTTGTAGAGGGCCGAGATCATATTATCTATGTTTGTCCTATTTTTCCTGCTATTTTGTTGGTATTTTGTGTGTCTTTCCCCCATTTTAGGTCGTTTCTTATGGTTTTTCAGTCCTACTAGTCATTTCTCGTATATTTATTGTTATTTTGGTATGTTTAGTGTTCTCTTTGCTTTTTCTTCATATTTTCTCCTTTTTTTGGTGTTTTTTCGGTTATGGTGGTTTCAAGTTTGGACGAGAGAAGAAGTACTCTGTTCCAGTTCCTAGGAGTTCTACACCAATTTGTGCAACCCAACATGCGAGAATTAAGATCCCAGCTCGGGCAAGACCCGAGAGACACTAGTCGAAAGCGCGCAAACCTGGAACTTCAATTTTTAGAGATGCCCAGGCCTTACGCTGCTTAGGGGAGTACAACTAGCGGCGCTATACCAGACTAACGACCCCAACAACCCGAACTTTTTCAGCCTTAGCGGCGCTAAAGGGTTAGCGCCGCTAACCCCTGTTTTGAAACAACTGTTATTTTCATGAAATTTCGAGTTGGAAAGCATATGGGTCGAGTTTAGGGTAGTTTTTACTCATTTCAGACATGGTATTTTCGAATTTTCCTTAGCATAAAAATATTTCTCTCTTTGGATTCACTTGGATTCCGTCTTGGCGTGTAAACTCTAAGATTTTTGTCTTTTGGGATTTAGTTTGCACCTTGTTTTCGACATTGGATTTTACATTAATCGTAAGAACTTCTTCTCGTTTTGTTATAATGATGATTGCTTTGGTTGATGTGATTTTTTGTGTTGAAATTACGAAGAGTGGCTAATTCCCTTCGCTAGGGATAGGGGATGATTGATTCAATTTGTTTTTTATTACGTGCTCTTAATTGTTCAATCTATGCGAGTTGTGGAATTCTAGGGTTAGTTGATTAATCACCATTCTAACCTAGTTAATCGACTTTTAGAATTGAAAGGGGAGAAGTCGGTCGATTTAGACTCGTTTAGACTAGACTTGGTCGTAAATGTATTGCCTATGTGTTATTTGATTTGATAGTTGATCGTTCACATTTATTTTCTTTTTACGAAGAATTACTGAGAATAAACCTCTAAACGAATAAGCTTTTCAAATCTTTTAGCTGAGCAATTGATTGTTCGGTAATTATATTATGAACCGAAAACGATTATCCCAAATTTCCTAGCTCTTTTATCATTTCGTGAATTTGTTTGGAATTGGATATTTGTGTTACTTGTTTGAGAATCATTAGTTGCTAGTCAAAACCCAACCAATTGAATTAGAGTGTTTAGGAATTTGTTTTCTCTTTCCTGTGATTGAATAATTATGCAAATTAATCCGGCTAACCTTCCTTGAGACAAGACCCGGGGATTGAATTTTTTTATTTAACTCCAGTAAAAATAATTGCAACAAAATGCCGCCGTTGCCGGAAAAGGTAAGACTTATTTTGTGCGCCTATTCATTTTGTTTTATGTGTTTCTCTTATTTCTTGTGATTTTTGTTTTCGTGTTTCTCTTTGTTTCTCTTGTTTTTCCTAGTAAAAGTTGATCTTTTGTGATTGCTTACTGTTTACTTTCTCTTGTCTATCTGGTGCTCCTGACGTTTTTGTTGTCTTTGTTTATGCGTACCAAGAGTGGTCGTGTAATCATTCCGAATGACAAATTCATCCATAGGGATTGAGGGACTTGTTGTCCGATCTATACCAGAATCATCCGACTTAGACAACCGAGGCAGTATGGCCCAGAACGAGTAAGAGAAGGAGGTAAGAAATCCCCCTCGTTATCTTCTTCATGATTTGGCTTAACCGGTGATCAGACTGATGGCTTCTTGCATCCGGTTGAGACTGGCATCTCGGAATTACGAGCTCAAGACAATCCACTACAACCAACTTCCATCCTTTCACGGTTTACCCAACGAGGACCCACTCCATTTCATACTGGAGTTCTACAATTTCCTCCAGACTTTTCCACTCACAGGCTGAACGAGGATCAACTAAAGATGAGGTGTTTTCCCGAAACGCTAAAAAATCGGGCCTAGGCTAGGTTTATGACACTTGCCGCAAACTCTCTTATCACTTGGGAGCAAGTGTACTCAAAGTTCATCAGGAGGTACTACTCCCATTAGAAGACTCAGGAGCTATGATCACAAATTGTCTCCATTTCCCAACAACCGAATGAACCACTCCATGAGGCGTGGGAACGTTTCAAGGATGTCCAGAGGCAATGCCCACAACACAATTTCCTACCAATTCTTTTGATGAACAACTTCTATGACTCTCCATCAGAATCTTCA